CGATATTTAGAGTGAAAATAAAGAACGATTAAATCTTCACTTTACATTGTCTTTCAACAATTTTGGCCTTTTTTCTATATGTATCCCTGTTTTTTTTTTTGCTACATTCGACTTATGTTTGATGTTAAGCAAAATATAAAACATAAACAACTACTGATAGAACTATAAGTACGAAAATAATCAGTTTTAGGTCTATTTTTATAATTAATAAAACTTGCAATTTCAATTGTAAAATAAAATTGTATTTTACGTTGAACGAATACAGGTTTATCATGAATAACTGTTCTCATGGAATAAATGTTTCGAATGCATTTCTACACGCTATTTTTATTCGTTATATATATCACAATAAAATTTTGGCCATCTCCGTCCACCGGTAGTTTTGCAACGTACAAATTGGTGTAGGTAGCGCGTCGGTTCAACGTGACGTTTAGTTTTTGATCGCTTGGTGTCGAATAGTATTTTTTTTGTGAAAAGTATTCGTTCATTTTCAATCACAAAACGGATAAAATGTCGTCGAGCGACATAAATATGCTTGTCGATATGGGTTTCAGTTTGCCTAAAGCGTAAGGGTCTTTAACGATTCGTCGACAAACATGTCTAACCTTCAATATTTCATCGTATATTTTGTTTCAGAGAAAAGGCGTTAGAGATGACTGGAAACAAAGGTGTTGTTCCAGCAATGGAATGGTACGAGAAAGATCGTTATTTCGTGTTTCATTGTTCGATGCCAAACTTCATTTTTATTTCAGGCTCTTGGCTCATACAGACGATGCAGAACCATCGCCTGAACAAACTACTGCCGAAAGTGCACCAACATCAATTGCTCAAACGCCAGCAGAAGATAGCAGTGCTAGTGCTAGCGGTCAGGTATCGACTACCGAACTTGCCAAATCTATGAAATGCGATATGTAAGTAATTTGTTTCCAATAAACCTATAGACACCTAGGGCGGAGAGGGGGGGGGGGGGGGAGAAGGGGAGGATTATAGAGTCTACCAGGCATGAAATCTTAAAAATATCCTACATCTTCCTTAAAGTATTTTCAAAAAAGTATTTATCAACAAGATTGCTAGCTAAAAAAATAGTAAAAAAAATTATGTTTGTGGGCTCAACAAGCTCCAACCCCCATTGTCTTATGTGTAACACCTTGTAGCCCAGTTGATCCTTTAACACCGTCCAGTTTATTATAACAATTGATGTATGCATCTAGATGTGGAAAACTATTTAAAAATAACTTGGAAGTTGAATTCCATGCAACAAAGTCTGGACATGATCAATTCTCAGAGAGTACGGAAGAAAAGAAGCCACTTTCAGAAGATGAAAAGAAAGAACAGTTACGGATATTATCAGAAAAATTAAGGCAAAAGAATAAGGAGAGGGAAGAACAGGAAAGGATAGATACATTTGCAAGAGAGAGAGATAGGATAAGGGTAGGAAAAGAAATGGCTCAAGCTAGAAAGAAGTAAGTTATTCATTTCTTGAAGAGAATAAGTATGGAACATATTTACTTATGCATATTGATCACAGATGGGAAGAGTTAGAAACAAAAAAAATGATGGATCAGAGGAGGCAAGAGAAAGAAGACGAAAAATTAGCAAGACAAAGGGTAAAAGCACAAATTGAAGCTGATAAAGCTGCTAGACGCGCAAGAGCTAATAATGAAGAAGTACCTAAGGAACCTGTAACTCCTTCCGTGGTTACGTCGCCTACGGCGCTGCATCGGAAAGATTACAGTGAAACGAAGTTACAGGTAATAAGTTGTATATTCATTTGTTCCAGCCAGGGGCGGATCTGCTATGAAACTACCAAAACTTCAATTTCCTGCCCCCCCAAGAATTCTGTATTTGTTTCGTTTTAATTCGAATAATATTTCGAAACATAAAAAAAAATTTAGTTGGTCTCGAAAAATAGTGTGTGCTGAACAAACTAATAGGAGGATAAATATATTTTCGTAATAATAACGTTTACCTTTCATGAAACATTTCAGAAAAGAAAAGGGCCATTCAAAGTAATTAGCTTCAAGCCTGATAAGTCTAGATCCGCCACTGGTCCCAGCACATATTTTTATTATTGGCATGTGAATGAAACAGCAATATTCAACATTTTAGATTAGACTTACCAATGGACAAACATTAACGCAAAGTTTCGGAAGTAAAGAACAATTATCTGCCGTGAGATTGTTTGTCGAAATGAATAGGTCAGACGATTCGGGACCATTCTGTTTAATGACGAACTTTCCAAAGAAAATTTTCACAGAAGATGATTATGACACACCATTAGATGTTTTAGGTATGCTATAGATTAGAGTATCGATCGATGATCGATATTTCATTCGAACGATCTGAGTCAATTATGATCCGAAGTAATGTGTATATAGTACTGATATCGTGTCTTCTACTAATCAGATAGACGAAAGAATAAAATCACCTAATTGAATAATTGCTCGGTTTCAGGCCTAGTACCATCCTCGGTTATAATTGTTAAGAAGAAATTGCAGCAATCCACATAAACATCAGTTATTACTTGCCATGCAACTTGTAAGCTACTATATCTGTGTACAATGTCCTACAAATTGATTATTAAGGAGGAAGCATTTTTATTTCCAAACATTTTCAATTTTATAATTTATAAAGAGTACAAGTTTTTGTGACAGTTGTTATTCAAGAATGATATAATTTATAAAAATGAATGGAAAAAGAAAAATATACATTTGAAAATAATGGAAAATTTACTCCAAATTTTTTACCTATTCAAGGATCAGAAGTATACGTCACGGTATGTGTTAATTTATAATGTTTATCAAAATATTCATTACTCTTTGTTTATGGACAATTTTCTCTGATTACACTCTTACTACGTGATAATTGTGTGGTACTTCGCCTGGATATATCACGTTTGTAGAACGATCACAGTTCGTGGGGTATCCGTAAACACCGTCGCAATCGATCAATTCGAAGTTTTTATTAAAACAAATTCGAATTTCAAATATATACGATTTCTTCGTTTTCTGAAATAATTTCTAGATTAGCTACATGGAGATTTCGATCAAAACACATAAGTTTGACAAATTCTCACCTTGTCTTTCTGACAAATTACTGTACCCCGTTTGCCTAATATTCGTTGAATCGCGTTGAAAATATCAGTCATTGCGTACGAGTTTCCAGGTAAAATTTGTGCTTTGGCCAACACGTTTTTCATGTCGTATTGCGATAACAGATCGAGACCTTTTTTAAAATACTTCACTTCTGTATTCACGTTTTCCAGCATTGTCGAACAAGTACCATGTTTTTCCCATTCGTGTTTCCAAAGAGAAGAAGATTCTCTTCCATATTCTACGTCTATCCATTTCTCTTGTAGCTGACTCCACAGTGGTTTCAGAGCAGTCTCATTAAACGGTAAAGAACGGTTACAGAACTGTGGACCCAGTTTATGGTACTCGGATGGCCAAAGACCATGGATCGTCCACTCGTCGTTATCTCTTGGTAAGGAGCAAGTATGCGACGCTGAACTCTCTTTCCACAAATAGCAAACAGTTTGTGGCCAATGTTGAGTAAAGATTAAAACATCGAAGTTCGATTGTGCTATTGCGTGCCTGCGATAATATTGATTTTTATTTAAACGAAAGAAAGAAGGTATAATTATAAATATACATCAATATTTTAGCTTTTCAACTTTTGAACAATGTTATCATATGGAAATAAAAAACGGACTATGTTCGAAGAGTAAATAACTTTTTACTCACCCATATAGAATACTGAGGAAAAGTAAAAATACACCTGTCCTGCGATACATCTTTGAGAAGCTTCGGTTTCTGTAAACAAAGAAAATTCGAATACGTTCGGTGACCGTTATACTCAGTTCAGACAAGTTCTAGCCTCTCACCGCCTTTTATACGTATCGCCCCACCATCTCTATTTCTCATTCTTCAGCAGTAGATGGTCGACCATGATGGCTACCTAAACCCTTCAGTCAAAAGATTCAGGTCATTTTATCGACACAGAAGTTACAAATTATCTTCAACATACAACGTTCTGCTTGTATAATATTTTTCTCGGTGAAGCATCAGTAGATAAAGATTAATCGCGACCGATCGTTTTTTTTCAAGAAGCATTTCTATTTGCTACACTGCATGGTTTTCTATTTATTTTGTTTCATAATTTATTTGTTTTAGATAAAATGTATTTATCTTACTATCTCATAGATAATTTATACAAATCTTTTAGAATAAGTGGTGTTCTTTTTACAAACTCGTTATCGATTTTAATTTAATTAAGTTAATTACATTTACTGATACTTGCCACGTATTGAAAGCTTCTGCGATTGGCATCCTTGTTAACAGATGAGATCAGGTGCGATTAAACTTTATGCACGAACTGAATTGATGTTCATTGGCTCGACTGTAGGTACATAGCATTATATAACATTTATCGCGAAAATTCTTATCTATTAAACCCAACGATACTAATCTATGTTTATTTAATTAATGTACGTAATAAATTGAACAAATATTGTATGAATAAACATACTCGTCTTCCTACATGCAACCCATTGTACTTTTGTGTGCAAGTGTTGTTCTTCTTTTAGCCGCCATACGTCACCACAGGTGCTGTTTGATAATTGAAATTGAAAGTATGAACATTGTAACTTCGATTCGATATCGTATGTTGAGTGCAATCGGTACGTATATAAATACGTACGTTGATGTCGAATTTTATACAGAAAAATGCTTCGACTTTTTTCAGCCGCTAAGTATCGTTACTCCAACATCATTCAATAATCACGATTGGAAACTTAAAAATACTGCTTCGTTATTGTATAAATTAATAGGTATTGTAAAAATAAAAAAATTTTTTTTTACAAGAATTGACAACAATTATTTTTCCGAAGACATTTTATACAATAATTGCTACCAATATTTTTAACTTAATCATTTATTATAGGAACAATATAATACTATTCATGTATAAAATCACGTTTGGATTGAACGCAACATCCTCAATACCTTAAAACGTTTTTATTTGCGTTGAATTATTTGGTTCTGTATCACATTTAGGAAGTATGAAAAGATCAGTTTTCGCTGGCCCTGGTATTTTGTACATGATCGTTGTAGAAATAACAAGAATAGTGTTTAAGTATTGAAATCAAAGTGATTCTTTATTAATCTTCCGATGAGATGAAGCGCTCGGAATGTTCTGTTCGGTTTAAGCCTCTGTCGCAATAAATAATATGTAAGAATCTTCAACAGAACGAGAATAACTATCAAGGCGACGACATCCACCCAGAAGACCACGTTTTCCATTTCTGAAATTGAAATTTATCGTGTGTCAACAAGAGTGTTACTTCTTCAACAGTAATCTTGTCCGAAAACTGTAATTATTTAGAAAAATACCTACGCATTGTTAGCAAAATTTGTCGTGGTGCTCTGAACTCGCAGAATATTTCCTCGGGAGGGCAGTATAAATTCTCTCTGTTGAAACCGTACAAGGCAGTCACGAGACCTTCCAGGCCGTATCGAATGTAGCTTAGATACATTATCAATTTACGATAAACGGGTAGTGTTTGTGTTTCCCCTAAACCTTGCACCGCTAGCAACATTAAGGGGACGCTGATTGCGGGACCAACAAATGTACCGTTCTGAAAAATGAATTTACACAGATCCTTTTTGTCCTGAATTCTTCGATAGTAAAATTCAAATAAAACTTACCACGATGTTCAAAGTGCTGGCAATGGCCAAAGCCATGCTCTCCGCTATAAACATGCATATAAAGCAAATACCAAAGAACATTGCACACCTGAAGAGCTCTAAAGGTTGTCCCGTGATTATGTACACCATCGATAGGTAGATCGTTGACACCAATACCTACAAATTAAACGAAACGTTAATGATTAAGTTGGATGACGTAAATCATTACGAAATTTGCTATCGTCCGACCTGTACGGGTATGTTCATTACGGTGAAGGCACAATAATAGGGACTCAGTTTGTACCACATGTTGAAATATTCTCGTTTAACCAGTTGCACTTCCGAGGGAACTGAAATGTTGCAATTAATTGAAGTACAAAAAAGAATACCGATTGAGTCAAGGGAATAAACAATATCGAAAAAAAAAAAAAAACAGAAGATGACCGAAGATAATGCTCCGTGACTCGCGACGTAACGATTATTGCGCTGGAATCATTTAATTCTGCAAAAAGCAACTCTCCGCGCGTATTATATAACTCAAATGAAATACAAAACGCTTAATAATCCGTTAAATGTTTATCGACTAATTAAAATAATTTTCTTGTACCAGTTCGTACTTCCTCGCATTAATTACTGTTTTCTTACAGTGTAGCAAGACCGGAAGCATGGGCACGTAGAGGAACAATATCAAGCAGGCGAAGCAAAAGCCAAAGTTGAACAAAGTCTTCGATCCGTCGTTACCAACGTTTAAGAACAATGCTCCTATGATGAAACCGAGGAATACGTGTAGACCTATTTTCAGATACATATAATTCTGTGAAACAACAAGTAATTCCGTTAAGTCAGCTCGCGAAAGACTTGCGCGTTCAAAGTTAGGCGTTGTTGTTTCCGTACTTTATTTCTCCACAGTTGTAACGTCATTCTCCTTGAGAGAATGACAAATTGATCGCACCAGGAGAGCCTCGGCATCTCTTTTGGCAGCTGAAATTCGCGCTGCGTTGGTCGACAAATTGGAACAATTGGCAGCTCCGTGTCCACCAAGTTTATCATTCGGCTGGTCCATTCCGTACCGTAATCGCCCGCGGACACTTCTATCACTGAAACGATTATTCAAATGAACTACCACGTTCATAGAAATTGGTCGGCTAACTGACGTATCATTCTATAGAATTTCAGCTCGATTTAATTTACCAAAATCAGCAGGATTGTAATGTTTTGGGCACTCGATGCCAACTTGTCGAAGAAACGGGACCAGATTGTCCACCGTGCCCCTGTAAATGCATTGACCACCAGCTACCACGTACGTGTGATCGAACTTTGAGAAAATACTCGCGCTCGGTGTATGAAGGGAGCATATCACGGTTCTTCCTAGTCGCGCCAAGCGTACGAGTAGGTCGATACATTGCGCGGCTGATATTTCGTCCAAGCCTCTGGAACAGTTTCCGTGATCAGTAACAGAAATCACTCAAGGTTGCATCGTAAATGCACAGATCCGCTTAAGGGATTTTTATCGCGTTTCCGCTACCAAATAAAGCACTCACGAGGTCGGTTCGTCGAGAAATATAACAGCAGGATTGTTCACGAGTTCCAGAGCGATCGAGAGCCTTTTTTTCTCGCCGCCTGATAGACGTTCGGTGATCGTGTCCTTCGCACGTTTTAGTCGCAAAATTTCTAGGACATCTTCTATCTGAAATGTAGAAGATAGCAATTAGTTGAATTATCTTGAAAAAGGTTCTTGGACGGTCGATGGGAGTATGCCGAAACACGTTTCCCTCCCTTGTTTACGGTCGCGAGCGTCCCATGGCACGCGTCGAGAATACGAAGAAAGACACGCGATGCAATTTGAGTATTCGTGTTCTTCCAAGAACACGGTTCATGCGTTGCACCCAACAGCGTTCCTAAACGAACGATCTTATCCTAACTTTTCTCGAAAGTTTCGCGCAAACACGGTAAGGGGTAGTGGCACACCTAGAGGGAGGAGAGTAGCTCGAGTTTCTATAAAAAATATATTTAATCTAAGTACACCCATTACATAGGCGAGTACACCTATACCTTAGCTTTATTTGCTATCTATAAAAATCGAAATCTGTTATTCGAATGAGATGAAAGTGTCCTCACAGCAGTGAGCTTCTCTTCCCGCGAAGTTTTGCCAAGTTTTAGGTCCACGGCGAATTGCAACGCCTCGAACACCGTGAGCATCGGTTGAAGAAGATCTTCCTGCATGATGTAGCACGATAATTTTCTCAAACGTTTCGCCTCTCGTGTCTGCCCGTTGATACTTATGTGCCCAGTGACGCCTGTCGATCTGAAAACAATCTGTTTGTGAATTTCGTATCGTGGGTGAGTCTATCGATCGTCTCGATGTTGGGATTCGTGTTAACTCTGACTTAGGTGGAGTTTCCGCCTACTTGGACGTGGGACGCGAGGTCATTGATCTTTGACTCCACTGACTCGTGCTTTGGGGGAAAAAGTGGTGCGGCACGATGAATGATTCCACGAATCAAACACTGACTCGAGAAGATCGAGAAGCATCGATCGGTGGATTTATGATAATTTGATTGGAACGCTTACTTGTATCCTGCTAGGATATTCAATAAGGAGGATTTTCCAGCACCGGACGGGCCCAGAATCGCTGTCAGTTCGCCAGATTTAAATTGTCCAGAAACTCCGCTTAAGATTACCTTCTTGCCTGTGACACACGAAAACAAACAAATTTATTACGCCGCGAAACGAAATAATATACGTCGGTCCACCTGGAAAAACACAAAGTGCGCGTCGTCGTTCCGTAAAACGACGAACGAAAATTTTGCGCGTTAGATGAAATTTTAGTAAGCAACTTCTGTTCATTGTAGACTTAAAAATATTCCAAAGGAAATACGCCGTACTGACTGCGTCACAGGTAACTAAATATTATACGGGTTACCGAATAATATCGAGACCTTTTCACATGATAATCGTATCGTTTACATAACTAAATATTTAACATGGTTCCTTGGCGTATTATAGTCAAATGTGACACTGGAGAACGTTTTTGTTAATCTCTGAATGTCGACACCGTTATCGATCGCATCGAACCACGTTAGCTATATTTCATTGCTACGAGAAGAATGGCATTGACCCTTGTATGCAAATGATGCGGCGAATTAATCCAGTCACTTTCGACTGAGATTCGCGGGACAAGACTTTTATCAATCAAATCTTCTGCGTACAATTTTATCTCGTCGTTATAAATATCGTACAAAAGGCCCCATAAAAATTTAAAAGGCAAATCATTGGATTCTATCCACATTTTTTCCTCTATCTGCTTTTGTTCACAGTACTATTTTTCGTAACAATGTAGCATGTTTTATTTGAGAGAATATACATAGTAATTGTTGTCTAAACTGTACCCAACTCTGAGACGCAATCGTACAATTCCGATTGTATTTTTTATCGAAAAAAGAACGTCTTCGACATTCCTTCCTAGAAGATCTATCGAAGAATCGTTTGATAAATGATCGATGGACATTTGCGTGGCGTGTACCGTGCGAATCCAGCTCGTAACTAATCAACGTCGTTTTTAACTCCGTCTACCTGTTGATTCATTGCGGGATACATGTGCACCTGCGACGTATGGACGGGAAAAATAAACACCGTGTGCATCGGATAATTTACCATGATGATTACTTAGTTCGATTGTTTACATCACAAACTTCTAGCAACATCAATTTTCCTCGAATGTATCCTTGGAAACAAAGGAACAATAGCTACTGAAGTATGTATCCTTGAGTGCATCTACTTGCCACTGTTTGTGGTAATGGTTTTTTAATTGGCATTGGTACACCTACACCGACAGGATGCTGTAAAAGTTGAAACATAACTACCGACACGCGTAGCAGTTCCATTCTAGTCTACTTTCATTCCTCCCCCACTTGAAGAATTGCTGTTTCTGACGGTGTATAAAGCACGTTTCCTGTGCGCCGGAAAACACCCACATTGACGAGAAACGGTGTAAACACGCGACGCTAATCACGCGATGAAGCGATAATAGTGAAAATTATTGGGTCCTGGATAATAAAAGATTAAATAAGATGAATATAATATTTCTTTTTTTAATTTTCCATTAAAGCGACCCATTTTTATGATTTCGTACTGTTTTAACAAGCCACGTATCTAGGAAAAGCCTTAAATACGACTATTTCAGTTGAATAAACGATAAATAAGAGTAAAACAGTTCGTAATTGTGTTTCACGTGTCGTTAACGAATGAAAATAAAACGTTACGTTACGCATTATATATTCATCCAGTAACTTTAATTGTTTCTCTTTTATTATTTAGCTCTAACCGTTTATGGGATTATCGCTTCGTTGCGAGATTAGTCGCGTGTACACAGTTTTTTTTTCCGTCATTATAACTATCGCCGTGATGTATAGCGTGAAACAAGATAGAAACATTCGCTCGAGCGTCTTCCAAGTTCTAGTCATCTGCGAGGAGAAAGGTTGAAGGCACCGCAGGGGCATAGAAAGCGAAACACCGAGAAATTGTAACGGGCTCTGAGTGATTACGGTCGTGGCACTATTAGAACTGCAGAGCTTTTACGAGATTTCGCGGAAACCAATCGTGAATCGTGAGATTCGCCATTTTTTCCCAGAGACGAGGACGTGGTATCCTGTAGCACAGCCCATTACGGAAGTAGCCTTATCGAGTTATCACAAACATTGTGCAAAATATCTCACGACATAATTTTATTATCTATGTTCAAATTTCATCGCCTCTACGTGTGATGATAATCTAGGCATGTATTGATATACAGCATTGTTTTCTTAGTATGTTTTTGTTCACGATGATTAAACTCTAATTACAGTGTTTCGTTAATTGTTCCGATTCAACGAGTAGTTATTAGTCAACGCGTAACGTGACGTCAAAACTTTCTGCGTGTATATTCTCATTTACTTCATTATTATTGAAAGATTTTAAGGATCGTCTGAAAAGTGGCTGAAAACACACGAGGTCCGAGAAGCAGATAAGATCGTTTTCACAATTTCTTTTAATCGTTCACGTTTTCGTGGTTGAAACTCTCCCTTTTATCCTCCAATTTGTTTCCAAGGTATTACGCTGTTTTATATTCGAATGATAACTGGCGCAAATAACTCGACAGATTTTATATTACTAGCGAGTTGTCTTATTTTCGATGCACCAACACGATTTTCTTCCGAACCAGACCTCAACCTCAACCAAACACGTACTTTGGTTGAGCAACAGAGCGAGAGCTGACTCGAAAGCAAAAACAATCGTTTTCGTGATTTTAGATTAAAGTGTCGTATCCGATTACCGTCTATAATTCTTCGACTCCGTTTAAATAAAAATATAGTTTCAAACACCTCAGTGGCACTGTTATTTAATAATATATATATATACCCTTACAACACCCTTATATTTCTAATGATTATGCTAAAAGTAATCTTACTTTATAATGTGTAGATAGTATCCTGACACACTTCGTTAACATATCGGGAAGTTTTCAATTTACATGCGATTAGTTGATCTTATTTTTCCTTCGAATGTTGCAGTAATCTTGCCTTGAACGAATTAGATAAACGTATTAATCATAGTCTATCATCGTTGAAGTCACTCACCCCTTTGTTCTTTTCAAAGAACAAATAAATGAATGTACACGACAAATATTATCGAGTCGCGTTATTCTTTGTTGTATTCAAGTAAAATGTCATATTCGCGTTGTATTCCATTTGGTTTGCAAATTACTGCGATACGTACTTTTATACGGATAAGATCTAGATACACACATCAGAAACAAGCGTACACAGAATCATCGATAAATCAACCTTAATTATTACGTATACTAAAATGCAAATTACTGTTGGCACAAGGAATGCGTCAAGAAAAGCTAGATTCTCATTCTGCGGTCGAATATTGCGATTGCATTTGAAGGGCAGAGAATAATTTACACTCCGCGATTAAGTTACTAAACTACATTAAACTGACATTATAGACGGAAAGTAACGAGACTGCTTCGTTAATCGGACTATGCATACAATACGTGCTTGCGTCAAACGAGATACGGATTAACACATTTGACGCGTGAATTTATGATGTGAAAATGCATTACTAGAAATTCGATCAGTCACTTCTTATCGCTTCTCGGTGAATTAAACTGTGGATGTTATTGGTTGAATATTAAAATACAAACATCATTATCCAAGTAACTAGCATTAGTCTTCGATAAATTATCATACCTTTTCTACCGTAAGGTATCGTATAGGTCAAATCATTGAATTCGATGTCGATCGGTGCCATTCTTTTGAAGTGCGACAGTGACACCGTAGCCTTCGTGGACATGAGTTTTGAGTTCTCGTAGATTCCATCGTTGGTATCCACTGCGTTGAACTCCGAATTCAACGACATGGTTGATCTCTCGTTTCAAAGAATTTATTTATAACCGTCTCGCTGGACCCATTAAGTTGCTTTTCTCTGGCTTCCTCCAATTTATTCCACTGAAATCCCCACAAAAAATGATCAGCGACGGAGTTATATATTTAAATATAATTCTGTTAAATCTTTCGTTTTCGTACAAAAAATATCTCTTATCTCAACAGCTTCGCCCAGATTCGCGTCTGTTCGAAGCTTGTTTCGCAGCGCGCTGATGACGAATTAATTAAACTAAGATGCACAGTTGTTTGTGCAATTTAATTTCGTTCGACTGACAGTCCGTAACTCGGGAATTTAACGAGTAAATTATCAGGATCGCCGATTAAGTTAATCGAATGATCTACCAAGTATGTCACAAACCTCGAATCATGATTTACCGATTAAAGTGCCAGAAATAAACGTTTTTCCGTCTGACAAGAGTCAACACCGACCGATCGTTCGCGATGCAAAAGAACGATCGAAAGCTCAGCACGCGACAGCTCGCGATGGAAGACTGGCGTTGAAGTTACTTTGTCCTGCCTTCCTAGTTTCAACGATATCGTATACACGCGCGCACACGGTTCCGTTTGCCGCTTACGCATATTTTACAACAGCTCACGATAAAAATGACACACCGAGATGATACCAGGAACCGTGATAGTGTCATTGCAACAATTATTTTTATGTACGATACTTTTTATATACACGAACCTGACGTGATTTTAATGCCACGAGTCGGACGACTTAATTTTTTATGTGTTTGTTGCACATCTGCAAATGGAATCTCGGATAAGACACAGTCATCGGCGTTATATATATCTTCGAAGGGCTTTGAATTTCATTCTACCGATCAAAGCGAAAGAAAATCCGACGTACCCATGAAAGTAAAATTAAAATTCTCATTTCTTTCATCGATATTCTACTCGGTACACTGTATTATCCGAATTCATTTAATCTATTAACGATAAATGGTTGAACACCACTGATCTAAAGTGAATCGCATGCAAAGTTTATACATGCACGGATAAATAAATCGAATAAGTATGCATCACCGTAACCAACCGAGTTGGTGAAACGAGGCATTGCTATCGAGACAGTTTCATCGATTAGTCGCGTTATACCAACTTCCGCGCAAAACGACGATAAAATCTCGCGATATACCAATGCACACGTCCGACTTATCCTCTCGGCTCCGGCGAGTCATTGATGCAGTGGTTCTTAATCTTTTTTAGGACCTCGACACAAGTTCTTAATTATGATAAATTGTAGTGATAATTTTAAAGATTGCAAAAAATCAACAATTCTCGGGAATCAAATACGTGGATCTTACAGATTCAAAAATGTCATGAAATAGGAAAACAAGATTGTTCTCTCGTTATCGGGATAACTGTCCAATCGAATAAATGTCATGGATTGTCAAACGGTAGGTTTATTCGCTATCTACTATTCGAATAAAGTTTTGCCCACCTCTGGTCGCGACGTGATAGTTAAGGATCACTGCATTATTATGGCGATATTCCCGCACTGTTCATACCACCGAAAGACTAATTGTCTCTATTGTACGTCAATGGGCACTGAAATCAACGCCAATCGAAGAAACGATGCATCTCGCGTGGAGATACCGTTCACGTCTTAAGATAGAAACTCGTACAGCTGTAGAAATTTGTTCTATTCTTAGGTCAAACACGTGGTGTCATTTATCTATAAATGCACAAACGTACAGACACATACACACACACACGCGTCACATTCCCGTCGTCGCAAACCTCGTTAATGACCGTTGCAATTACGACGCGTTAAGGTCTTCTGTCATTAAATTTGGTACACAGCAAAGAGCAGAAATTCCAATCGGTCGAAGCAAGACTCGCGCTCGACGAGCTACAGTAGCGGACTGACTACTCCGATTTTACTTCGCCCTAACATACCCAGCCATATCTACGCGTGTGTATGTCCGCTTTATAAAATGTACACGCATGCTCCGAGCTACGAAATGCGCAGGGATGTTTTTCCAGGACTCCCTTTTGAACGATTCGTCCGCCGAATGAATCAGACATTCAACGCAATCCATTGTCCCGAGCAGTGACTCGCTATCTTATAGCCAAAGAAAAGATCTCCCTAGGGCTCTCATGAAAGCCACCTACTAAATATTTCAAGAACCTATTCTTGATATGCGTGCATGATGAATGAATAACCCAAAACTATCTCCTTAAAATCTCCAACCAACAAAAGTCTTTTTATTCGATTCAACAATTATTCGGACGAGCCTTTATATATTCGACGTGACACCGTGTCATTTAACAATTCAATAGCAATTTTTAAACAATGACATTCAAATGTTTAAGAAATGTTCGAATATTAAATTCTACGAACACTCACCGATCCGTTTTGAACACTATACTCTCGCGAACCGGTTGTTAACGTCGCGTGCGAACTTCTTTTATTTAATTTCCATTCATAGTCTTCTAGCTTTACTTTCCACTAACTTTCCAGTACAGGTGACCGTGAAACTGAGAATTAGTACAAACGTCTTCGCGCAGTAGAAAATGAATACAAGAATTATATTGAATTTACAGAAAACATGTCTTAGACAGTTTAAATTAAACACGTAACGCAACAAAATGTTGTGAAAACTACCACAAACTTGGAAAGCAACATTTTCATCTAAACGAGTATTCAGCTTATTTGTAGTTGAAGCGAATGTAGGAATAACACGAGCGTGTCATGAAATAAATAGTTGACGGCGTACACCTTTCCCCTATCAAATTTCATAGCCTAGACAACATTGTGCTTTCCCGTTTGTTTAACTCGGAAGAGAAGAAAATACTCCAGCAGAAATTATACGACCGTCACTGTCATAGAATACGGGTACATTGAACTTTCCTAGTAGACGATGAAAAAGCATGCACAGCAAGTCGCGTTTCGCGTCGCCGTTAAGTTCCAAATGCATTGTCCATATATTTTAATAAAATGTAATATTTCAGTCGCAAAAAAATGTACAGTTGATGTACATGTTGAGATATAGCATGGATTTCTGAGCCCATATGGTTGATAAATGGTTGTGTTGTTCGCGGCATGAATACCTTTACCCATGCATTGGCTATTTATTAGAATCAAACCTGGACACTTTTCAAATAACATTATTTGAAATACACGTCAATCGCCCAACAAGAGTATTTATAGGTTCTAATGCAGGGGTAGGCGTGCACTATACGCTGTATAGTGTCAAACAAAGTGAGAAAGTAAATTCAAATTATTCAGGTCTAATTATATGCGGATAAAACGTAACAGAAAGTCTTTTCCTCTTACCTTAGAAAATCCATCAAATCTGTAATCCCAAAAGTATTCGCGAGCATGTACAATATATTTCCTGGTTGTGTAAGGAAGCACTTATGATACTATTTGAAAGATTGCAATAATGATTGATTGCTACGTTAAAGTTGTGCTCGTATTTTCTAAGAAATTTTTGCAATGATACCGCGATAAAAAATTCAGCAAGAAAGAAACCTTTCGCTTTCAACATTTTTCAGAATAATTGGACAATTACGAAGATACCGAGTATTAAGAAGAAAACTCTACGTTTTGTGGCTACTAGCTAGAACAATTTCGACCGGTAACTAGAACAAAACTTTATTAGGAAAATGACTCTGCACATTTTCCCGTCGTAGTTATTTAATTACCGATGCGGAATACGAATATTGTGGCATGCGATAGTTACATAAAGTCATACAAACATGTTTATGAAAGGCATAGTTTTATTCGTAAGAAACTTATGCTGTAAAATACAACGAAGATTATGCCAATCCAGCACAGACACGTGCACGGTGTACGGTGTACACGATGCTTTACAAAAGTATATGTATATTGATCGGAATCTATCACGCTAATCTTTTACATACATATAAACATGTATAATTTATCCCGTGTAAATAGATACAAACATATTTCTTGGTAAAGTACATCTGTCAAGTTAGTTTTATATAAAACGGAGACGAAACGATTGAACATTTTTTTCATACATATCATTGTTCAATGGTTCACGAGTTTAATTTCCAAAAATAAATTGTCGAAGTCTGTGTTGAACCCCGGTATTAAAAATTGTATCGAGCTTCGTGTAAACTTTCATATACGTTTGCTCAAGCATACTAAATTATATCTATATACATATATATCTAAATATCTATATATATATGTATATATAAAAACAATAACGATAATAGGAAATAACGTTAATAAGTTTGTTTCTCAAGATAACGAAACCTAAAAAAATGAAACAGACTGGCACGGATTAAGGGGGTGCTTAAGAATCTCTGCGAAGAATCTCATTTTCTTAAGTATTAAATTAATTTTTTAAATAATTTATATAAAATCTCCAAAGAAATAAAGAATATTTTCCGGCACTATAAATTTCTCCTTGATTTTCTTATCAAGATAATTTTCGATAGTTACCCAACTTCAGGCCTTAAAACCCCTTAATTCGACCGTGGAAACAGACATACAATCTTCTAAAGACGAAGTAATTGTAAAGAAAGGTATTACGTATACTCCACCAGTAGGGCGTATGACAGTACCTACGAATCGTAGGTCAGTAACAATTGGTATACACAAAATACCAACACAAGTCGATACCATTCCGATCGAATTAGTTTAGCAATTCGAAAACATTTACAAACGAAGCCATATTTTTAAACGTGTATATACGAAGTGAAGTCGTGTTCGTCGCTAAAGGTACATATGTATACCAAGAATGGTAGAAAGTGTAACACTCCGTTTCTTGGATGCGAGTGAGAGCAAGTACCGTCTATAAATTTGTTTCTTTAAAGCTGTTGGAGTACTCCGCTCCCAGCGCACTTTGCTATGTGACTCACATTTTTTTTTGTTACAAAAGTAGGCTCGCTTACAAAATACAAATTGATTAGTACAATATACACTCTACGTATAAGAGACACGTTAATTGGAAGAGTTACGACGAACATAAAGTTTCGATGGACTTACTGCGAATCGTAAGTTCCTGCCGTACGCGCGAACATTGAAATCGGCAAGATCTCGTAAAAAATTTGAAAATTCGAGATACACGGTAAACCTGGCAAGATCGCGCTGAAATTCTAAACACAAGTCGTGTCGCATTTATCATTCGTAACTCTTCTGCATCGTCAAAGTCACAGCCACTTGGTGGATAAAAAGAGAAATGTGTTCACTCGCGAAACGTTGTCAATTAAGGCCTCTTATTCCTTTCAGAGAATAAAGTTGCAGAGCTTTTGATGTTGTTCGACAATCTGCTCCATTTGGCTCGGGATTTCTCGAATCCCTCTTTTTCTTGCTTATCCCGCTGAAGAGCACTGATACACTCCCACAGACACACATACACACACACACACACATATATATATACACATATATATGTATATATATACATATATCGCACGCGCACCACATATAAACAACATAAACAAATACATGCACACTCTTGCACTCGACTCGAGATCAACGTGCATACTTACGTGCATACTAGAAAATTGTGCTACCGTGTAACGAAACAAATAAAAAAAGACGTGATAGTACCCTGAACAAGTAATGTCGCGTTAGTTGCTACAGAGTAGTAGTTTTAACGTTGTAAAACTAATAAAAACGAATAAATTACGTTAGTTTAGACCTTACGAATTCGACGCGTAATAATTACAAGTATGAACGGCAATAATCTCCGCCCTTTCAGGGATAAGCAATTTGTTCGACAATCGATGAATTGTCGATCGCTGGTCTCCGCGACGGTAAAACGAGTACGTTGTCGCAGCATTGGTTTACGAATTGTACGTTTGAACTTTGTTCGATTTTTAATAATTTCGCGCGACGTTTTATCGCGCAGTCTTAAGTTTCCAACGGAGAAACAGATAGGCCGCAATTCGAAGAACAAGGAATATCAAAAGCAAGGCAAGAATATCAAGAGTAAAATCGGCGTCGAGCATATCCAGCTCCTCCAAGGTTGTTTCCGGATTTTTGAAATGGCAGTAGACCTACAGAATAAAAACTGTGTAATATGAAGCTCTAACGTAAGCCCCGTGACAAAATTATAAGACACCGTATGGGTGTTGCTAATTCTTTGGTAATTTTGTATCTTATGATTCTACCATGGGTTTAATATACAGATAAACATTGTACCTGGAAACACTTGAGTTTTTCCCGCCCGAAGGAGTAAGTAGCCAACGCAGTTCCCTCGAACCCGTATCTGATGTAACTCAGATAAGTGATCCATCTGAGATATACAGGAATGGCGTCGAAACTGACAAAGAAGCCTGAGAATAAGAGGAACGGTACAGACATCACAGGCGCCAAAAATACGCCGTTCTGCACGTTCATGGCAGCTCCAACGACGAGTCCCACCGATTGGGCGACGAATGAAATTAATAAACACGTCCCTATGAACATGCTGAACCGCATGGTATCCGCTGGTTGACTCGTCAAGAAATAGACAATCGTGACATAGAGTATGCAAAATATCGCCTGTAAAAAGAACATCGCGTAGATATTTCATCATGGAACAGAACAGTCTTGTTCCATTTCTAACGAGAACCAGTTAGTTTTATCTTTACCTGAAACGGTATGTCAGATACCGTGATTGCTAAATAGTAGGCCTTGAGTGAATACCATCTGTTAAAGTTTTCTTTTAAAAGTACCGGTAACTCTAGTGGAACTACAAAGAAAAGAGTATTAAACTATCCGTAATTATGGACGAAGCGAGGAGAATACT